CCTACTAACATCTGATAGCATTTCTGTTGCTGGCATAAATAGATGAACAAGGATATTTGCAATTTGTACTTAATAAATCATTTTTGGGTCGAATGAAATGAACTTGGATTATTTCCTGTGGCACCCCTAATGATCTCTGACGGCACATTAATGTGCCATGGCACCCTGGTTGGGAATCACTGGTGTGGAGATTGACATGTGCAAGTACAAATTTCATGATTGTAAAAGTCTCGAATCTCCAAATAAATTAACATTCTAAAAAATATCATTGACCGACATTGAGATGGTTTGTCGGGACTCTTAGGCGCGTCATTTATGTACCGTAGCAGCTTTGGACAACATGGGACATTGGCAACATTGGAAAGTTGTTCTCAAATTGAATTGGCCACCGATTTCTGCGGAAAAGTACGTGATAGGCATATATCGATCAATGCCTTTCATTGCCGATCACAAAAATGCCATGAAGGCACCGAAAGTGTCCATCGCTGATATGGAATTCAGTTCATGCTGCAACAAGTAATTCAGAATTAAAATTTCACGTTAATGTAATGGAATATTGCTTCCACTTGACGACTAATAATGGCGTTCCTGTGTCCTCTGCTGGTGACAGAAGTATCTTTGTGTATCTGACCTGTCGCGTAAAGACAAGAGGGTCCTCAGCAAGAAATATCAAATCTACTTCTGGTGAGAATATAAGATGCACATCCGCTGTCATTTTACTCTTAATGTTTTTGAACATGCGTCATGTGTCATGACTGTGCTCCCGTCAGGAACATCGCCACCATCGCTGTGTTCTACGCCCTGCCGGTCGTCCAGCTGGTCATCACATATCAAACGGTACACTAACGGAAAATAAACAATATCAAGCCGCCACCATGCACCGTATTATGTAAACCGCCAATGTTTCTTTGATCAGGTTGTCAATGTGACGGGGAACCAGGATATCTGCTACTATAACTTCATGTGCGCTCACCCTCTCGGGGCTCTCAGGTTCGTACTCGCTCAAACAAACGAATTAGCATTTCCATGCGCATCGTGACGATTGACACTCAAGCGCTCCACTACGCAGCGCGTTCAACAACATCCTGAGCAACCTCGGCTATGTGATGCTGGGCCTCCTCTTTCTCCTCATCGTCCTCAAGAGAGACATCGTCCACAATCGAGCCCTGGCCTGTAATGAAGTCGGCGCACTGGTATGTGAATATGGACTTGACAGCTAATTGGGCGTCGGTGACGTAAGCAGGTATATGTATGGTTGACTATGCCACCTGGTGGCAGGTGAGTGGAAGTGAAAACTTGTTCATCAAATCTTGCCGACAAATCAAGATGAACATTTTTGTAATTACATTTTTTGAAACAGAATTCCGTCTTTGCCGCGGCCCCCCACATCTTCAAGTGCAGGTTTTGCAAATCGGTCCAGGTTGCCACTGAAGAACAGCTAAACAGTGGTGATCATATTTGCCAAAAAGTCACGGCTCACACTGTTGTCTTTTATGTCTTCTTTCAGGAATGTGGCATCCCCAAGCACTTTGGTCTTTTTTACGCCATGGGCACCGCTCTCATGATGGAGGGCCTACTCAGCGCCTGCTACCATGTCTGTCCAAACTACACCAACTTCCAGTTTGGTAACGTCACACATTTCACGACATCACACCTTCACCACACCGCACACACTATTTTCTTCTTCTCCTTATGTTATATTGTGTCTGTGTGTGTGTGTGTGTGTTTGTGAAAATATATATATATATATATATGTCTATGCAGATATATATATATATGTCTATGCAGATAGACATATCTCAAGAATGAGTGTAATTACTCTATGTCCTGACATCCTAAAAGTCAATTCGGCTTCACACATTAAGGGGAGCTCAGGAGCTGATGCAACTCTTCTGCAACTGGCAGCAAACCCCCTTCCATTGTTCAGAATCCGCCGGCTCAGTTATTTCTTCTCAAGCAAAGTGACTCCCATCTTTCTAAGGTCACTTTGACATGTGTCTGGTGCTTTTTGCAGACACGTCTTTTATGTATATGATCGCTGGCCTGTGTATGCTGAAGCTGTATCAGAAGAGACACCCTGACATCAACGCCAGCGCTTACACCGCCTACGCCTGCCTGGCCGCAGTCATCTTCTTCTCCGTGCTCGGAGTGGTACGTTGCACACGTGGCGACGACGTGGCCGACGTGCTAACAACTCAGAACTGTGACGGATGTCTTATTTTCAGGTTTTTGGGAGAGGAAATACTGTGTTTTGGATCGTTTTCTCAGTCATCCATATATTGGCCACGCTTCTCCTCAGCACACAGCTCTACTACATGGGTAGATGGAGGCTCGGTAAGATTTTATATCGGATGCATGTTTGAAATTGGTCATTTTACCAATGTTTTTTTTTTTTTTTGGGGGGGATATATATTTTAATTAGACAAATGAATACAAAAACAGATGATTTATTGGACTCCTTTTGCTATGTGAATGTTTTGTTTTTCAGACTCCGGCGTTGTACGCAGGATGGTTTATGTCGTCTACACAGATTGTATTCGACATTGCACTGGGCCCACATACATTGTGAGTGATGTCTGCGTGAGCCAGCGTTTTTAACATGCACGCCAGCAGTCGCTTTATGAAAATGTCGGCCCCGTCAAAGTCAACCAATCAGTTGTGATGCTGTTTGATCAGCTTACCACCCCCGCCCCACCTGCTCCCCTAAATCTTCATACCGTTTAGTTGCCCTGAGATGAGTTCTTTTCCTTTGATTTTTAATTTCCCAAAAAACGGTGAAACCTTTTGCTCACGTCCATCTTTTTGTTTGTTTATTATAGAATTTGTTTGCACTTTGAACATCCCTGGTTAATGCTTTTGCTCTCGTTCAGCTTTACACCAGGACCTTTTTTTTTTTTTAAATCTCTGAACAGTTGCGTGTGTGTCTGTCACCGATTATTATTATAGAAAATCTGAACCGAGTTCTCTCGCACGAGTGGTAGCAATTAAGATACCCTTAATGTCTTTTCAATCATGTCCCTTGTGCGTGTTTTGTTCTAAGGATCGCATGGTTCTGCTGGTGATGGGGAACTTAGTCAACTGGACCCTGTGAGTAACCTGGCGTGCGCGCGCGCCGTCTGTGTATGCGAGCAGTGAACGTGATTTGAGCAGCCTTGGTTCCCTTTGCAGCGCTGCCTACGGCCTCATCGAAAGACCCAATGACTTTGCCTCCTACCTGCTGGCAATCGCCATCTGTAACCTTCTACTCTACTTTGCCTTCTACATCATTATGAAGGTGGCGATCATGTGCTCAGGACATCATGTGACTAAACCTGCTTGATTTTAACCTCTTCACCTCATTTCCGTTCCAGTTGCGCAGCGGTGAGAGAATCCAGTGCCTGGCGTTGGTGTGTATTCTCTTCACGGCTGTGGTGTGGGGCTTTGCGCTCTATTTCTTCTTCCAGGGTCTCAGCACCTGGCAGGTTGGTGGTCTCTTACGGTGGAAAGCCATTGAAGGATTTATTCCATCTTCTACTTTGGTCTACTAGTAGGACAAGGGCATAGTTAGTACAAGTGAGCAAAGAGTGCACGACGTGCACCCTTGTCACTTCGCACGTTGATTTGTTTTACTAATGAGGACAAAGGGCATACTTTGAGGACCTTAGGCTGGATATCGCGGAATAAATACTCACGCGTCTTTTCACACTCATCACACGCACATATTCTCTTCATAACGCAGTATGACATTTGTTTTCAAACAGAAAACACCGGCCGAATCACGGGAGCATAACCGGGACTGCATCCTGCTTTCATTTTTCGACGATCACGATATTTGGCACTTCCTCTCTTCCATCGCCATGTTCGGATCCTTCTTGGCAAGTCCCCCGTTTTGCGTTGGCCGTCGTTATACACAATGTTCTGACGTCTACTCTTCACTTCTCCCGTTCAAACTTCCAGGTTCTGCTCACCATGGATGATGACCTCGACACTGTCCAGAGAGACAAGATCTACGTGTTCTAGATTGAACAAACCCGTGAAACGCTTTTCTCATTGCCTTATTGTCCTTTTTGGTCCGTCCATGTGCAAAAGCAGAGCCAGTAGCCTTCCCGGCCGCCAATGTGCTGCTCAGGGCGCGGCAAGGTCGCCCCCTCCCTCCAATCAACAATTGAACCGATGCTGAACATTTTTCTTATCTCGCTGCCATCAGTAATATTGTTGTTGTACTTGTTTACCATGTACGTTTTAGATGACAGGCTCATTTGCTGAAACTACAGCCTGAATTCAAATGATTATTCACAATGTATTGATATTTATGACTGAAAATGAATGTTATATGCTCTAAATAGTATTTGTTAAATGTGTTTTTACAAACGGCAACGGCAGTCAGTGTTGTGATCGTGTGAGTCACAAAGAAACCAGCCAATGCAATTATATTGCCATGATTGTATCAGATATGATGCAGTTTGTTGTTTTGTTTTTTTGCACAAAAAAAACATGTCAGATATGGCAATCAGCGGTTACTGAATAAAGGTTCCATGTCAGATATTCAGGTATCTTTTATGGTTGGTTGTTGCAATATACAATATCAAGGGTAAGTCAGTTTATTTCACTCATTTGGTTTTTAAAAAGTGAAACTAGTACAGTATATTAGTTCACCACACAAAATATTTTAAGCTATTAAAAAAAAAATTTTTTACTGGTGCAGTTTTGCTGATTACTTGCTTTGTATGCAATTTAGCACTTTATTGATATGTTTTAAAAAGTAAAAGTTTAGACGTTAGAGCTACTGTACTTTAATAGTTTTATATTCAGCAGATAGGGACAACTCTGCTTAACAAGAATGACAGCTTTTGCCACTTGATTTGGTTTTTTAACTGTGACATTTCAGAATGAAGTTAAATAAAATCAAGACGGCCTTTCCGACTTATTTTAATTTTAAAAAATGTGTCTTTTCAGGATTTCGTTTAACATAAAGTAGGACTTCTGTGTTGTTAAAATGACTGCAAAAACAGGAAAAGGGCAATTGTGAAACATGAAAATTTATCAGCGATTCGCGACAGAATTTATTTCAAGGCAGGTCTGTAACTACGCACCACAGACACAACTGAACCCTGAATTTGGCCCCCACGAGGCAAATCAGATTCAACAAAGTCAAAAGTACATCAAACATTTGACATTTAGAGTTCGTGAGCTCTAGTACAAGTATGGTATTTCTGCTGCAGGAAAAACAGCAGCAACAGACTTCGATTTTTGAACCAGAATTTGGGTTGACGCCTCCATGCACGAATGAAGATTTGTTCAATTTTGAAATTTTTGATCAACGCTCACCCATCTGTGATTATGGTGACCAGTCCAGGGTTGTACACCTCCTCTCACCCCAAGCCGCCTGTTGAGATCACCCGTGACCCGAAGAATAATTACCCAATAAGCCAGCGCAGTATCAAATGAATGGATGGATGGCTTACCCATGTGGAAAAAATCACACACAGTTGCATCTAAGAAAAAAAAGATTATTTTGAATGATTTTCCTACAACTGAAAGCTCTGACAGGGTTCAGTGCAGAGTCAATTACATATGCATTCACGCATGCACACCCACATTAAAACCCATCAACTGAGAACAGCTGGACATGGTGTGGTGCTTCTGAACCTTGGGTCAGGAAGCACAGAAGAGCTGATCCTGCTACTTCGGCCATGTGGGCGGGATGGCCTAATAAATGGAGAGGACATACATAAAAATAAATCATGTCAATCATTTTAGGGCTGAACGATTTTGAAAAATGATCTAATTGTCTTTTTTTTTTACTCAGTCTTGCTTTGACGTGAGATTTTTTATTTTACTTCATTATGCGATTAAGGTCCTCCTCCCTAAGATGTATATAAATAGATTTCTAAGACTAGCAAGAACCCAAACTGAGGCCGAGCGCCCCAATTCAGCCTTTGTGATTTGAAAATTGCATTCTACTACATAGTGAATTTGAATCCATTTGAATTTGTTTAATTGTTCAACCCTAATCCATTAGCTCAAGCGTTACCTGTCCCATGAGATCAAGAGTCCCGCTGAAGATTGAATCTGTCAGATTGCCGACCTTCATGTCTCCTAGCTGCCGAGACATACAATCCGCAAAAATGTGACATACTGCACGTGCATCATTTAACCTGATGGGTGGCTAACGAAGTGCAAATACTTCACACACCTCGGGTTTGAAGAAATTCAAATTCTTCATGCCGTCATCCTGTTGTCTGCTGCTCTCCTGCTGCAGCTCCTCTTCGGATTCTGCCTTCAGATGGTCAAAGTATTGCCTCCTTTGCGGGGGGTGATCGGACAGGTCAACGTTTTGATGCCTACAAAATTACACCAGTTGTGATTTAGAAGATGGTGTCCAAACATGAGGTTGAGGGTTTGAATCTACAAGGCGCCTCACGACTTTCTTGGGCTGGCATAGCTCAGTGGTCGCGTGGTATGTATATGCCACGCAATGTCAAATTAGGTGATCTTGAACAGTGGCAACGTAAGATGGCCGCCGGTCACTTCACCTCTCGCTACGGGCATTAGTAGTCCAGGTTTGTCCGTCCGTGGCGTTGTTTGTGAAGGTAACGAGTGACACATTAGAATGTATTCGCAAAGTACGTTCTTACGTATTAGTAGGCAAAATGCTAAAAGCATAGTACTGTATTTTTTTTCCCATAATGCCACGGGGTATTGACTTTGCCTACATTTTATCAATACGTTTGAACATACTACGCGAATACGTTCGAAGGAGTCTGCAGGTCAAAAATGTTAAATCCACATTGGCAGTTCCACACTTCTGTACACGATTGCTTGTGGTGTGTAACACACTTTTTATTGGAAAAAAAAAAAAAAAGAACCTCTCAAGTAAGTCATGATAATCTTTTTTTCTCAAACGTGTCTGGCAAGCGACTCTTTGCCCAAGGAGAGAAAAAAAATTGTGGTGCCGTACCTGCATGCAACGCTTGCCAAAATAAATATTAAAAGTTCATTAATATATCAGTCACACATTGTATTGCTTTTGATGTCTTTCAGCCTTCTACCTGTTATGTTCTACTAACCTTTCTCCTTCCAGCGCAATGCAAAGTGCTCTCAGAACAGCTTCACGGTCCTGCCTATGTGCCCGCAGGTAGGCAGGCACAGACACAGACACAGACACACACACACACACACACACACACACACACACACACACACACACGTTTTTCTTCCATAAGTCAAAACGATATCCTTTATTAATGCCCTTAATGATGCATTTTCAGTCCTCAATAACATTTCTAAAAGTTGAGATGATATCTTGAGGTTTTTAAATGTTCACATAATATCCACAAGATAGTAACAGTATACAAAATATGAGTGAGAATAAGTCACAATGACGTAAAAATATAAATATAAAATACATATAATTTTTTTTTTTTAAACCATTGGATTTGTGTGTGTCTGACCTGATTTTAAATTGCTCCTCCTCTCTCTTTTTCTGTACAGATTCTGTTAATTCCTCCTTCTGGTCAGACATCAACAATGCCTCCTCATCCCTCCTCTTGGCCAGCAGACACTGCCGCAAAGCCCTCGGGATGTACACAGATCGGATAATCATTCAAAACGTCAACCTTTTGAAAGAACCTCATAACCCCAACAAAAATGCACCGTAACCTCCAAATCTTATCTTGGTGGCTTATCTACAGCTGAAATCGTAAGTTTACATACACAGTAGACATGCCCCCCGCCCCCCCAATGCACTTTAATGGACGAATGCAACAGTCCGTTGATGCAGATACGTTCGTGTGCAGGTTATCCAGTCAAATATTAAATTGGGGTTAAAAATTGAGACGCACTTGCATGGGACCCCAACCGCCACCAATGCCGCCTCCCCGCGCACACTCCCTCTTTTCTTGGCTTTGGTGTATCTGGACAGCAAGGTAACCCCAATTCTCCGGTGACACCAAGCAGACATTCGTAAATATGTCTAACCTACCTCAACCTTTCCTTGTACTCCGACTTCAGTTTCTTCTCCTCCTCTTCTCCCCTCAGGCCCATCTGATGAAGACGCATTCTCTTTTCTTTCTTATGAGTCAATCTCTCCAACTCGTGCTCGCTCTGCAGATCCAGTTGGAAGAGGCCGATTTTCTTATTCCTTAACTGCTCCAACTCCTCCTCTTCCACTCTCCTCAGCTCTTCCTGGCGAAGATGCATTCTCTTCTCTTTCTTCCTCTTTAACCTCTCCACCTCCTCCTCCTCTTCTCTTTTTAACCTCTCCTGGCAGAGGCGCATTCTCTTTTCCTTTTCCCTCTTGAGCCTGACCATCTCCACCTCTTCCTCTCTTTGAAGCTCATCCAGACAGAGGCGTATCCTCTTTTCCTTCTCCCTTTGCAAGCGCTCTTCCTCCTCCTCCCGCTTGAGCTCCTCCAGGAGAAGACGCATTCGTTTTTCCTTTTCCCTTTTTAACCTTTCGGCTTCTTTCTCTTCCTCATTCTTCAGATACTCTTGGTGTAAAAGCATTCTCTGGTCCTTTTCCCTTTTTAACCTCTCAGCCTCTTCCTCCTCCTCCTTACTCAGCTCCTCCCGGCGAAGAAGTGCTCTTTTCTCCTTCTCCTTCTTCAGCCGCTCCTCTTCCTCCTGTCGGGTCAGCTCCATTTGTCGGAGACGTGTTCTTTTCTCTTTCTCTCGGTTCAACCTCTCCTCCTCTTCCTCTCTCCAGAGCTTCTCCTGCAGAAGACGTGTTCTCTTCTCCTTTTCCCACTTCAGCCGTGCCACCTCATCTTCCTCCTCTCTCTTCAATTGCTCCATGAGGAGATGCGTTTTTCTCTCCTTCTCCCGTTTCAAAAATTGCACCTTCTCGTCTTCCTCACCCCTCAGCTCCTCCTGGCGGAGTAGAATCCTCGTTTCCTTTTCCCTTTTCAAGCGTTGCACCTCCTCCTGTTCCTGTCTCCTGAGCTCCTCCTGGCGGCGCTGCGTTCTTTGCTCTTTTTCCTTTTTGAGCCGCTCCATCTCGTCCGCTTCCTCCCTCCTCAGTTCCTCCTCGCGGAGCTGTGTCCTCTTCTCCTTTTCCATCTTCACTTTCTCAGTGTCCTCCTCTTCCTCCTCCTCTTCTTCTTCCTCCTCCTCCTCCGTGCTCACTTTGTCCTGACTGAGACGCAGTGGCTTGGGGTTCGCCCGTTTCAAATAGTCTGCCATTTTTTCCTCTCTCAGCTTCGCCTGGTGTGCACCCGGTCTCTTCTCCGTGTTCGCGGTCTCTCCCTCTTTCTCTGTTGTCAGTTTCTCCAGACGGAGGCATGTTCTGTTCTCGCTCTTCAACGCGTCCGCTTCTCGCTGTATCCTCTCCTGGAGAAAATGACTTTTGGTTCCATTTTCTCTCTGAAGCGGATCGGTGTTGTCCTCCCTTGGCTGTTTCCACCCTTTCTTGAGCTGCACGACGCCCTCTCCCTGTTCCTCTTCTTTGTATGAAAGCATTAACTTTTCCTTCCTTAGTAGTTCTGCCTCTTCGTTTAGCGGTTTCTCCTTTTCCCTCGCTAGTGATTCCGCATCCTCCTCTTTGATTACGTCCTCCTGGCGCACGCACGTTTTCTTGACCTTGGCCCTCTCCTGGCGGAAACGCAGCCGGGTCTCCTTTTCATTCCTCCACCTCTCCACACTTTCTTCTCTCTCTCGCCGCAGCTTTTCCTGCCGGCCGCGCATCTTCTTCAATTTCTCCTTCTTGAACCGGTCCTCTTCCTCTTCCTCTCTCTTCAGCTCATTCTTTCGCTGGTACGCTCTCGCCTCCTTCTCTCTTTTCAAAAGCTCCGCCTCCGCTTCTTCCTCCTTCCTCAGCTCCTCTTGGCGGAGACACATTCTGCTTTCTTTTTCCCTCTTCATACGTTCCGCCTCCTCCTCCTCTTCTCTCCTCAGCTCCTCCTGGTAAATGTTGATCTTCATCTCCTTCCTCCTCTTCAAAAGTTTGGCATTCTCCTCTTCCTCTCTTCTGAGCTCCTCCTGCAAAACGCTCATTCTTTTGTCCATCTCTGCCTTTAACCGCATCTCCTTCTCCCTCATAAACTGCTCCACCTCCTCCGCTTCTTTTCTTCTCATTTCCTCCATGTGGAACAGTATTCTGCTTTCCCTGTCAGTCTCCAGGCGCTCGGCGGCTTCTTCTTTCTCTCTCCTCATCTCCTCGTGATGGAAGTGCATTTGCATCTCCTTCTCCCTCTTCAAACACTCAAACTCCTCGTTGACCTCTTTGCTGAGTTCCTCCAGGTAGTCTCTCACTTTTGCCTCCTTCACCGTCTTCAGGTGCTCGAGCTCCTCTTCTTCCTCTCTCATCAGATCCTGCTGTTGAAGACGCATTCTCCTCTCAACTTCACTTTTTAAACGCTCAGCCTCCTCTTCTTCCTCTCTCCTCAGCTCTTCCTGGAACACGCTCATTCTTGCCTCCTTTGCCGTCCGCAACCGCTGCAACTCCTCCTCCTCCTCACGTATCAGCTCCTGCTGGCGAAGACGCAATCTCCTCTCAGTTTCTTTCTTTTTCTCCCTCTCTCCCTCCTTCAACTTCTCCACCTCATCTTCCGCTCTCCTTAGCTCCTCTCGGCAGCGACGCATTGTCATTTCTTTTTCCTCTTTGAAGCGCTCCAACTCCTCCTCTTCCTCCCGACGTAACTCCTCCCGGTTAAGATGCATTTTGACATCTTTTTCCGCCTTCAGCTGCTGCATGGCCTCCTCTTCCTCTCTCCTCAGCTCCTGCCTGCGTTGATGTATTCTTGTCTCCTTGGCTGTCTTCATCTGTTTCACCTCCGCTATTTCGTCCTTTCTCAACTTGTCCCGGCGAAGGCGCACTCTGACCTCCTTCTCCATCCTCAACTCCTTTACCTCGTGCTCTTCCTCTTTCCTGAGACCCTCCTCAAAGAGATGCATCCTCATTTCTATCTCGGACTTTAATCTTGCCTCCTCCCGCTTACACTCTTCCATCTCTTCTTCTTCCGCTCTCCTTAACTCTTCCCAACACAGACCTATTCTAGCCTCCTTTTCCGTCTTGAGCCGTTCTTCCTCCTCTTTTTCCTCCCTTTTTAGCTTCTCCTGGTAGAGTTCCATTTTTACCCTCTTTTGAGTATTCAGTTGCTCAACCTCTTCCCTTTCTTCTCTTGCGAGCCTATCGCGTTGGACGCACATTCTTGCCTCCATCTCACTCTTCAACTGCTCTTCCTCCTCCTCTTGCTCTCTCTTCAGCTTTTCACGGCCAAGGTCGATTCTCCTCTCCATTTCAGATTTCAACCGCTTCACCTCCTCCTTTTCCTCCTTTTTCAGCTCTTCCCGGCATGAGCGCATTCTCATTTCCTTCTTTGTTCTTAACTGCGCCGCCTCATCTTCTTGTTCTCTCATTGACTTCTCCTTGCAGATGCGCATCTCATGCCTTATTCTGGTCTCCTCCCTCTTCAACTCCTCAACCTGTGCCTCTTCCTCTCTTCTCAGCTCCTGCAGGCGACATTGAATTCGTTCCTCCTTCTCGGTCTTCAATCTCTTCATCTCCTCCTCTTCCCCTCGAATTAACTCTTTGTGACAGAGTTGCACTCGAGACTCCTTGTCTTGTTTTAACCACTGTATCTCCTTATCTTCGTCTCTCCCCAGCTCCTCCAGATGGAGAGCTATTTTCTTCTCCTTGTCCATCATCAACTGCTCTTTCTCGTCCGCTTCCTCTCCCCTTTGCGCCTCCTGAGAGAAGGGCGCTTTTTTCTCAACCTCAATTTTTGTTCTCATCTCCTCGCTCTTCAACATCTTATCCTCTTGTTCTCTGCTTTGCTGTTCCCACTGCTGAGTCATTCTTGCCTCTTTCTCTGCCTTTAATCGCTCCAACTCTTCCTCTTCCGCTCTCCTCAGCTCCTCCTGGTGAAAGCGTATTTGCTTCTCCTTTTCCTTCCTCAACCGTTGCATTTCCTTCTCTTCTTCTTGGATCATCTTTTTCTGAAAAAGATGCATTCTGGTCTCCTTGTCCTGTTGGAAGGTCTTTGCCTCTTCCTCCTCTTCTTTCTTCCTCTCCTCAAGGCGGAGACTTGCTCTCATCTCTTTCTCTCGCTTGAATCTTTCCACCTCTGTATCTTCCTCCGTCTTCAGGAGGCAAATTCTCATTTTTTTTTCCCTCTTGTACTGTTCAACTTCTCCCTCTTCCTCCTTCCTCAGTTTCTCGAGGTAGTTCTGTCTTCTCAACTCTTTGTCTTTCTTCAACTGCTCCATTTGCTTTTCCTCCTCCACCTCCTCTTTCCTAAGCTCCTCCTGCAAGAAATGTCTTTTATTCTCCCTTTCCCTTTTAAATTGTTCCACCTCTTTCTCTTCTTCCATAGTCAGTTCCTTCTTATAGTGACATGTCCTAGTTTCCATCTCCGTCTTTAAGCGCTCCATCTCCTCCTCTTCCTTCCTTTTCAGCTCCATCTGGTAGAGCTGGATTCTTGTTTCCTTTTCCCTCATTAAGCGCTCTGCCTCCATCTCTTCCTCCCTCCTTTGTTGTTCATGGTAGAGCTGCCTTGTCACTTTTTCGAGTCTCAGTCTCTCCATTTCCTCCTCCTCTTCTCTCTTCAGCTGCTCCTGGTAGCGCCCCTTTTTCAACGATCTCTCCTTCTCTCTCCTCAGGGGTTCCTTATGGATTTGTCCTTCTTTCCCTTTGTCCCCAGTAAAACTGGTGACCAGTTCTTGTATGAGCTCTTTGTTGGGGTGATGCATTCCAATTTCCATTTCACTTTTCAACAGCCAAACCTCCCCCACTTCCCCTCTCTTCATCTCTTTATGGAGAATATGCATTGTTGACTCATCCCTCATTAAATGTTTTGTGTCCTCCTTCACAACATTTTTCTGTCTGAGATCACCCTGCTCTTTGTCAGTCCTGCACTTCTCTTCCCTTTCTCCCATCTCCTCTTCTGGTGTGATTTCATAGTTTTGGTTTTCTTTTGCTGCGCTCTTGAAATTTGAGGGATTAGGTAATTGAGGAGCAGCTTTTAGAAGTTGTTTGTCTGCATGATCATTATCCCTAAACAAAAGGCAGCCAGTGTTAATGTACTTCAAATGTAAATTTATTAAAACAATTAACCCAATGTCAACAGCAGCAAATAAATAACATCCAGTCAGGAATCTTGGAGATATCTGTACGACTACAAATCTTGTCACAGTACAGTACTTTCAATTAACGCACCTCATGGCAATCCCAACGTTTTCACATTTTTCCTCTTCATTTCCCACTTTTTCAGTGTCTGTTGCCAAAATATGCGCGGAATCCAACAGCTCTTCCAACAGCTTATGGTGACAAAACAAAATAACATGTCGCTCACTTGCTCATAAATCCATTTTAGATACAACTCAATTAATATATTTTCGCGAAGCAGAGTGGATATGAAACTGAGTACATGTACCTGTTGCTGTGCTGATTCAGTTTTGGTCTTTGTAATCTCTTCTGCTGAATCTACACAAACACTACGTGAATTCTTCTTCTGCACATGCAGAGAGACAGACAGACATGCAAGATTTGCTTTTTCAATTCAAGCAGACCAAAACTGTATTCTTTGTTTTGTTTTTTTTTATGTTGTGTACCATAGACTTTATCGCTGGAATAAGTAATAATTATCACAGCAATGAATTATCATGAGCAAGTTTCTCTTACACTCGACTCCAAACGTTCTGCAACACTAAGGCCAATTCCTTTGCTTTTCTTGTAGATCGAAAACAGTAAAAGATAATTATCTGGCAGGAGATCAATATTTCAGCTTCCCCAACTACCCAATTTAAAGGTATATGAAAGTGATCAATTGCCTTCCAAAGGAGAGTGTGCCTAAAATACTGGAAGCGGATATAGTTGGCACTAACTGTTGGGCTCACACACACACACACACACACACACACACACACACACACACACACACACACACACACACACACACACACACACAGC